AGTTTTTACACTACATAGACAGTAATATACCGAAACGTGCGGATTGTTCCCGATTGGTGTGCTATTACTTTGTGGAACGTTTCGCCAAATGGTTCATAAAATATTGGCATTTTTGTGGTGAAATTGGTCCCATAGGTATGAATGGCGGAATGTTCAAAACTAGAGTGGGAGCTGACAAAAGCTAGAGTGTGAGCTGAAAAATCAGGACATGATTTGTAAACTGCCATCACTCCCTCATTTTCAAGCCCACCTACACAAATCTTATATGAAAACTTTCAGCTATCCCTGCTGGCACTAAAAATGTCCACGGCTAAGCCATAGTCCTGATAGTTTTTTTTTTTTTTTGTTTTTTTTTTGTTTTTTTTTAGCACTGTATTGGTATAACTGGGGACGTCAGTGACACCATGTCAGACCCCCCCCCAGTGTCAGAATGCCTGCCACAGTCCTGCTATAAGTCGCTGATCGCTGCCATTACTAGTAAAAATAATAAAAAAACAAATATTCCAGTATCTATACCACCATTTGTAAACGCTATAACCTTCACATAAACCAATTAATTTACACGTATTGGGATTTTTTTTTTAGCAGACATGTCGCAGAATACATTTTGGCCTAAACTTATGACTTGATTTTTTAACGTTTTTGTTACTGGACATGTTTAATAGCAAAAAGTCAAAATATTGTTTTTCTTTTTTTTCTCAAAATTGTAGCTTTTTTTTTTTTTTTTTTTTTTATTATTATTATAGCACAAAAACCGCACAGGAGATCAAATACCACCGAAAGAAAGCTAAAATTGTGGGGGGGGGGGAAGGACATAAATTTGATTTGGGTGCAGTGTTGCATGACTGCGCAATTGTCAGTTAAAGTAACGCAGCGCCATAACGCAAAAAATGGCCTGGTCAGGAAGGGGGGAAATCCTCTGGAGGGCAAGGGGTTAATGTATTTCATTTCTGAGCATGCGCAGTACCTGTAGTAAATAAAAATTTTAAGAAGTCAATGGGAGGTGTTTTTGTATTGGAGTCAATGAGAGGCAGTGTGTGAACCCAGGCACCAGGATGCGATTTCTAATGGCGACCTGGTGCCTGGGATTTGTCGAGCCCTGCCTTACATGAATAGAAAAACAAACATTCTCACAGCGAAAAATGTCAAACGAATTTGTACTAGTGTGTACTGAGCTTAAAGTGTGTATATGTATATGTGTGTGTGTGTATATGTGTATATATATATATATATGTGTATGTGTGTATATATATATATATATATATATATATAATATATATATATATATATATATATATATAATTATACATTTTTTTTTTTTTTTTAATTCGCATACATGTTATACTTACCAACTCTGTACAATGGTTTTGACCCTCTTCTGGGGTCCCCTGCCACTGCTCCAGGCTCCACCTCTTTTTTTTGAATGGCCCCATAGCTGGCCACTTGCTATGGGGCACTTGTGTGGGCTCAATCTATTGACACACACACAGCGCAGCTCGGACCAGCACTGGATTGAAATTTGGTTTGGGTAAGTATTTGGGGTGGGGGGCTCAGTGCAGAGAATGCATTAAAGCGGAGCTCCACCCAAAAGGGGAAGTTCCGCTTTAAGGGCTGCTCCCCCGCTCCCCATTAAGGATTGGCACCTTTGGGGAGCGGGTACCCAAATTTGACATGTACCCGCTCCCACTTCCGGTCCGATCACCTAGGCGATCAGAAGCGGAAGGTGTCCTCCCTCCTTCCCTCCCTGTAGTCTTTTGGGACATGTGACAGGTCCCAGAAGACTACAGGACCATTCACGAAGTGCAGCGCTACTCACGCATGTGCAGTGGGTACCCGGCTGTGAAGCCGCAAGCTATCACAGCCGGGTGCCCACACTGAAGATGCCGGCCTCCTGGAATCCAGGACTGCTGGTGAAACGAGCTGCGGGGGACACACCACGGGACCGAGGGACAGGTAAGTGGCTGTTTTTTTAAGAGTCAGGAGCTACAGTTTTTGTAGCTGCTGACTTTTATTTTTTGATAGGTCGAGTGGAACTCCGCTTTAAGCCATAGACTGTTCAAATCTTGGCTGGTTCAGCAGGGACAGGCCCAAGATTCAATCCATGTTCTCCTGGAGGGCGGAAGGGGGGAGCCGTCCTACCGTGAGAACACAGCGATTACTGCTGGTGGCTATAATAGCTGCTACCAATAATCACATGTAAAATCTAACAGGCTGGTTGTACCCAAGTTGATCGATCAGCTTGGGTACATTCAGCCTGCACACGGTTAGAATTTCAGCCAGCCCCTGCTGAACCGGCTGAGATTCAAACTGTCTATGGCTGGCTTTACAACCACTTTGATATTTGCTATTGGATATTTAGTTAGCCATCTGCCATTGTTTGTTTCTAATGATTTGCTCTCTTATCTTTTTTTAAACAATGCAGATTTGTTTACTGCCACTTTTCGGCCTTATCATAAGTTGACAATCTTCTGTGAAGTTGGCCTGTGATGGTATAACCCCCATGGAATCTTGAACAATAGCAGCTGGTTTAGAGCCCACATGATTAGTGATCTATAATGATTTGTATATAATACATGTAGGTGAGGCCTTGGTCCCAGGGAACCCAGTCAGGGAGAGACCACACATACACAGTTTTGAATGTTGCGATTTTGTCTTGTATGTTGATATGGGTTAGTAGCAATCGTTGCAAAGGAATGATGAGGGCACCCTAATTTATAAGGTCCCACACCAAAATGGCAGCCAAAGGTCACCAGAAGTTGCAGAGATTCTAGTAAATGTTTGGTCGGACTTTACTGGTACAGAAGAGAACACACAAACAATTCAATAATTGAACGAGCATTCTTAAAACTAAAAATTTTGGAGAAAGTTCTGCTAGTGTAGGGACAGCTTTAACTTCAGTGGAATTCCATCCAGTTACCTTCATCTCCTTGCAGCTTCTCTTCTTCTGTGTATGTGTGGTCCATAAAGTGTAACGAAACCCATTAATACTCACCTCTACCAGGAATGTGGCATCCGCTAGCTCCATTGGGAGCCTTCTCTCTGGCTTTGTGGTCTTTGGCCATTTTGATTGGCCGAGTTGACATAACTCCTGTGTATGAACATGGGAGATGGTTCATCTTGGTACCCAGGCATGCCAAGAATGTACACAGAGTTGTGCATGTGCACCTTGGTCTACTTTCTAAAGCTTCTTTATAGGAGAAAGGTTCGAAGCTTTTTATGGCAGAAGAGACTTAACCACCTGCCGGCTGTAATACGTATATATACGTTGCATTATGCAAGTGGTTTACTGAGGTTATGGCTGAAGATATCAGCCATAACCCCGGTTTTTGTTTTTTTGTTTTTTTGTTTTTTTTTTCAGCCAGTTGCTGTCTTTCTCATGAAAGTGGTCTGAGCGGCTCATTAGCCACTGGATCGCTCTCAGTAGAGGACTTGGGCAGGGGGATGTCTCCTTTCATCGCTCGTCGGTGTTTCTCAGGCTTACTGTTTCAACTGGCATGTCTGAGAAATGATCCGACAATGCGGTCAGCTGGTCACAGAGGTAATGAGAGACTCTATCGTCTCTGATCGCCTCTATGGCCTTGGAGGACCAGTGTGACGTCATGATGTCACTTCCAGTCCTGGGCGGATGTAAACAATTTTTTTTTTTAATTTAAATCTTTTGCTTTTAAAGGTAAAAGAGAGATTTGAGGTCTTTTTGACCACAGATATTTTTAAAGAGGCCCTGCCATCCTTATTTCTATTACAAGGGATGTTTACATTCCTTGTAATAAGAACAAAACTGATTACAAAATTTAAAATAAAGGGACATTGTAAACAAAAAAAAAAAAAGAAGAAATTTTAAAGCGCCCCCGCCCTTCCATGCTCGCGCACAGAAATGAGCGCAGACATATGCTGTGCACAGGGGCGGACTGACCATTTGGAAACTCGGGCACTGCCCGAGGGCCCGGGGTCAGTAGGGGGCCCCATGAGATGCCCCTGATACCTTTTTCATAGGCTTTTTTGAGTTTGGGCAAGGACACAGGGGCCCCATGATCCCCTATTACCCGGGGGCCCCATGAGTTGTCAGTCCGCCCTTATATCACCATGAAGGTTAGAGCGAGAGCAATAATTCTAGTACTAGACCTCCTGTGTACCTTTAAATAGGTAACCTGCAAAAAATTTTAAAGCATCACCTATGGAGATTTTTAAGTACCATAGTTTGTCGCCATTCCACAAGCGTGCACAATTTTAAAGCGTGACATGTTTGGTATCAATTTACTCACCGTAACATCATCTTTTATATTTAACAAACAACATGGGGTATATATTGTTTTTTTGTTTTGTTTTTTTAATTCATAAAAGTGTATTTTTTCCAAAAAAATTTTTGAAAAACCGCATCCTAAATACCATATGACCTAAAAAATTGCAATGATAGACATTTTACTCTGTAGGGTCTCTTTGCAATTTTCTAGTAAAAAATACTGATTTTAAATTTGTAAACCAAAAGTGCCAGAAAATCTTTAAGTGGATAATATATCTCTTCTGCAATAAATGTCCATCCTGCTAGTAAGTTTTACATTTCAGGGCTAAATTCCGCTTTATTGATGAAGTACCACGCAGCATCCTCTTGGAAGCCCCAAATGCAGGATGAAGGGTGTGTCCAAAATGGCCTGGATGCACAGGTGGTAGGCTGTATGAGACTGGGCATTGGACATTTTCTTAGCAGACATTTTTAGGCTGAAAAAATATGTAGTGGTGGTAAAATAACTCCTCCGTCTTGGTGAATTCAGCCTATTTGTCTTATTGGATAAACCCACTTATTTTTAAGATCATAGCTTTCCAGGCATTGCCCAAAGGTCTGGAACCTGCCAGTTTTGAAGGTTCCAGTGTTCCATACTTTCCACCTGTTTGCTAAATTGGTACCGTAACATTGTGTATCTTTTCCGCACCCAGGTTTACAATGGAGAAGTTTGTGTTTCTGTTGGCCATCCTGCCATGTGTGGCACCAAAGACCATCTCAAAACCCTCCAACAGAGTCCAATTCCTCTCTACGCTTCGCAGTGATTGGTGACTGGGGCGGTCTACCCCTCCCTCCATACTACACCAAGCAGGAGACCTTGGTCGCAGCTGAGCTCGGCAAAACTGTGGCAAAATGGGGAGCCGACTTCATCGTGTCTGTTGGAGACAACTTCTACTATGAAGGTGTGAAGGATGTCACCTCAGATAGGTTTAAGGTGAGAAACAAAATTCATGTGTAATAGGGTGGTGGTGGGGTTCTGTGAAACGGTGGCAATTAAAACTGTGGCCCAAGGAACTAATGGAAATTTTTTTTTTTTTTTGCACCCCCTCCCAAAAATTACAAATACTGTAGCTGCTGGCTTTTAATATTAGGGCATTTACCTGGCCAGGGATCCAGCTCTGTCCCTACCATGAGCCGATTCTTCAACCGGCTATTGGGCAGTGGCGCCTCCATCTTGACTAAGGGAAACCGACAGTGAAGCCTTGCGGCTTTGTGAATGGACCGCAGTCTTCTGTGACCTGTGAAGTATCCCAGAGAACTGGGTGGGGGGAGGGTGTGAACTTCTGGCTCAGTTCGCCGCAGCAGGAGTGGGTACCTGTCGAAAACCTGCTGCCCCCAAAAAAGTGGCAAATGTGGCAGCGGAGGGGGGAGTGAAAAGTATACCTTTTTATGGCGCCCCTCAAAGCTGTGAATGGAAGGAAAAGGATCACTCCACTGGCAAGTGAGAAGGGGGGAGCATGAGTCCGAGCGATTCCAGTGTCAGCCAATACTAGTGAAGGGATGGATGCTGCTCAACCGACCCCAGGAGTCCAATGTTGGGAAATGGCCTCAGCCACTGTTCTGGCCATTCTTAGGACATTCGACAATTCCCTTCACTTGTATTAGTGGAGGGGGGAAGAGGCAGATAAGCGGAGCTTCTACTTTTGCTTGGAATTCTGCTTTAAAAGATATAATAATGAAACCAGTGTTTGCTGCAACGTTCATCTTTTTTAATCCTAGATTTTCCCCTACAGTAATTTTTTATCTGCCACTAGATAACCTCAGTCTGTAGGCCAGCATTGTTCAATACACTTCTTCTGAGCCCAGGTCGCCCTGGACCTGCACCCAACCTGTGACAGGACAGTGAAAGGAGCAGCAGCACCGTGATTAGGTCATTTCTCTGTCACTCTGCTCTCTCCTCCTTTCAACATGATGCTGGTAAGCCCATTAATTGATTGGTTCCTTGTAGTGCTTCTTCCTCTCACTCTCCAGCCAAATATATTAAAGAATGTATGGCAAAACTTTTTTTTTTTTTTTTTTGCATAGTGTAAGGGAGGGTTAGAACCCTGGTCAGGTTGTGTGGTTTTTTTTTTTTTTTTTTTTTTTTGCCATTGTGTTCTATTAGGGAGATTTCTCTTTACTTCCTGTCCCATAGCCAAAACAAGAAGCAATAGGAAATCTCTCCAAAGTGAGTAGAACCCTGGCTGGCACCAGAACTAGAGTCCCCATTGGAGGATTTCCCCACTGCTACTCTTCCAGGGACAACCCAAAATTTTGGATTTTTAAAAAAACTTTCGATGATAATGGCAAACAAGACAACTAGAGAAGGTGAATAGGGGTGCAGACAGCAATAAAACCTGACGGGTCTTAATACTTGTCCATTCTATCAAAAAATAAGAAAAAAAGGTTTTGCCTTTAGCTATACCTGTCATATTGTTTTGCCGTCTGTGTCCCCTATGGAAAGTGTTATACCTCTCTGTGTATTGGTGATCACGGTCACCTGAAAGACAGTGAGGGGAAACCCAGAGTTGTCCCCAAAGCTGCTCAAAGCTGTGAATGGAAGGAAAAGGATCACTCCCAGAGTTGTCCCCAGAACAAGAGGGAAGGGGAAATCTTCCAATGTAGAAACCTGTTTCAGAGACAAATGTGCAAGAGGGGGAATTCCTTCACTTTGGGAAAGAATTTCTAATTTCGTATTGTGTCTCTGAGACAATACATGAACAGAACTTTCCAAAATGGTACACAAACCACAAATAAATGACCTGGTAGGAGTTAACATGTTCTACTATATCCAAAACAATAAAGTTTTGGCTATACAGGCGTACCTCGGTTTACGAATTTTCGTATTGTAAAGGAATGCATTGAAAACCAATTAATCCGTTCCGGAGGTCATAAAAAAGTAAAAAAAAAAAAAAAAAAAAGTCTTTTAATATGTTATAAAGTGCACTTTAAAGGCATAAATTACTGTAAAGGGACATGGTAAACCATTTGCCGCCCGCCCTATGGCTGAATGGCGGCCGGCAAATGTCATCAGCTTTCCGGGTGGACGCCATATGGCATATGTCAAAGTAGACAGTCCAACATATTTCATAACAGGCATGGCGAGTTTTTTTGAAGTTGTCCCCTTTTTTTTTTCGTCATTTTTTGGAAAATTAAGTGTTCCTGCAAATAAAAGAAGTATCACGTCAGTACTCAATTGGTTCTGTTGGAAAATGAAGAAATTAAAAAAACGATTTTCACTTTTTTTTTTTTTTTTTTTTTTTTTTTTTTTTTTTTTTTTTTACATACTGTCACCAGTGCAGTACAGCATCATCATATAACTGGCATGGAGGTGGTCAGGGACACTGACTGGTGACAGTACGAAAAGAAAAAATCGATTTTTTTTTATTTTTAATTTTTTATTGATTTTTCTTTCTCTTTTTTTCTAAGATATATATATATATATATATATATATATATATATATATATATATATATATATATATATTATTTTTTTTTTTTTTTCATATTTCACTATGACCAAAGTAGTATAATGTTACCATAGTAACATTGTACTACTTTGGGGAAGTGATCAGTATTTTTTTTTTTTTTTTACACAATTTGCTTATACCAGTAGCAAGTAATTACTTTGCTATAAGCAAGCATTTACCTGAATGAAATCGATTCATTCAGGGTTTTTTTTTTTTTTTTTGTGCTTAGCTGTGATTTGGCCACTGCTAATCACGTGACACAGCTGGGCTGTGATTGGCCCAGCTTGTGCATGTGATCGCTGTGACCATTCACAGCTAGACACACTTGTATACAATGGATGGCATGGAAGGAAGCCATCCATTGTATACAACTGTCATGTGACCTGCTGTGATTGGTCACAGCAGGTCACATGGTACTGGAAACGGGGCCAGTATACAGATCTGTCATCGACCGTGTCCAAGGTACACGGCTGGTGACAGATCGAGCCACAGCGCGGCCCTCCGGGCATGCGCAATGCGTGTTCCTGAAAGGAAGCCATGTGGTGTCCACCAGGAGGGACAAGCGGCAACTGGTTAATGAGTTTCCCAATCGTAAAGTGGTTCTAAAAGCAGAAGGTTTGTTTTTTACCATGACCGGTTCAGCTCTTTGGACATACTACATACGTCCAAAGAGTGAACCTTTTAAGTACAAGCTGATGGCTGCAACTCCATAGCCGCTGATCACTTTCACAGAGCCGGCAGCGCAGTACCCCCCCCCCACCGGTTAGGGAAGGGACAGTGCATGTGGGATCAAGACATGGATGTGCCTTGGTCTCACAGCAAACAGAGAAACCAGCAGTGATATCGCTTCTGATTTCGGATACACCATTTCCTGTGCAGTACAACTAGATGACACATCTAACCAAGCTGATCTGTGCTTCATTAGATGGTGAGAGGTATGGGGAGACATTGGGGTCTATTAGACCCCTAATGTCTCCATAAAGAGTACCTGTCACCTGCCCAATGCTATCACGTATGGGATTACAATCAAGTAAAAATAAAAAACTTAAAATGAAAAAACTTTAAAAAAATAACATAATATATTAAAATAAATATATAGTCGTAACCCCGTTGTCCTGCACACCTGTGCAAATACCAACATTAGCCCAGGGTGTGCACACATATGTAAACCGCCGTCAAACCACACGTGTGACCTATCGCCATGAACGTCAGAGTGAGAACAATAACTCTAGCACAAGAGCTCCTAGTCAACTCAAACGATGAGCTGCAAAGGCTTTTAAAGTGTTGCCCATGGGGATTTTTGGGCACTGTAGTTTTTGGCAATTATCGCAGACGCATGCACTTGTAAAACATGGAAAGTTTGGTATTTGTTTACTTGATGCAACCTCATCTTAAACCAGCCTACAAAATGACTGGGGATACACTGTAAGTGGTTTGCATTGTAGTCAGTGCATTGTTTGTGTTTTGTCCAGTGGGCCTCTCAGCTCCCTATGTTCTGTTTTACAGACCAGCTTTGAGTCAGTGTTTGATGCAGAGTCCCTACGCAACGTCCCCTGGTATGTTATCGGTGGAAACCATGACCACTATGGGAACATCACGGCTCAGTTGGCGTACTCCAAAATATCTTCTCGATGGTAATGCCCACTGTATGGTGCAGTTTTTGGGTAGGGATCTGATATGTATACATGGCAGTGAGAATTGTAAGGATGGGGTTGTTGTAGATAGTGGTATGTGTCTTATCTTCTTAGATTTGTCACTTTTATGAGAGAACATTTCCAAGGGTGTAGTTTTCAGACTATGAGTGCAGCACCATCTGTTAATAAAGTCTGGTGTCACAGCAGGGCCGACACTATGGGGGCATGTGTCCTAGGCGCCACATCGAGAGGGGTGCCATCATACCCATGCTCCAGGGGACCCATGCGGCCTCCCTGGCACACCAGGACAGGAGGGGCGGCATTTACGAGAACTGATAGGTTGTTTTCTTCCTGCAGCTGCTGAAAGCCAGCATTCAGCTTCTGCAGGAGAAAAATACAGCTGGTTCTAGTAAACCGCCCCTCCTCTCCTCTTTCTGCCACCCCCCACAGTGCAGGTGCCCCCCCCCCCCCCAGATCTCCCACCGGCTGCTGCGGGGGGGGGGGGGGGTTCAGAATGGAGAGCGGGGGAAGGGGCTGGTAAATTTTTCATTTATTGGCCCCGTCCTTTTCTGAATGAACATAGAGAGTAATTAGTACCGATCACTCATTGTGTTCCTTCATAACCGAAGCATAGTAAACACTGTTTACTATGGTTCAGTTTTGTGAATGAATGGGAAGCCGCTCAGCATAGAGCACTTTTCCTATTCACTGTCCAGTGCATCTAAGGCTGCAGAGGAGGGGACTGGGTAATCTCTGTCCCCAGTCACTTTTTCTCTGAATCAAAAGTGAGACATCATTGGTCTGTTTTTAGATCCCTGATATCTCCCCAAAGCCCCCAAAAGGGGCTTCTAAACATACGGTAGTTTAAAAAGAAAAAAAAAAATGTAAAAAAATAAACTACTGACACCGTCCTCTGCCCTACTGACACCGTCCTCTGCCCTACTGACACCGTCCTCTGCCCTACTGACACCGTCCTCTGCCCTACTGACACCGTCCTCTGCCCTACTGACACCGTCCACCATTAAGGCAGGCTAAGTTCATATTTTTGCAAGGACATTTTGTTTTATTCATTTTAGCATATTTTATTGGTATAAGAATGCTTTGTTTTATTTCACCATGCCCCTTTAAGTCCCACTGTTAACAGTTTGGTCACACCCATTGTTCACCGCGGTGCACTAAACATGGCACATTATTACTGTCTTTGGGGCACCAAAAGGTCTGCCAAGTCTTTTACAATCCTAAGTGATTTCAAGCCTCACCTCTGCAGTGGATTAGGAGGGGTGGCGAATGCTACAAAAGAGGAGAGCCCAGCTCGGGACTTTAATAATTCACTTTTTCTTACCCGGCAGTGCCCATCCTAATCTGAGCCAGAAGTGAGGCTTGAAATCTCTTCATTTATTCCTCACCTCTGTGGCAGATTAGAAGCAGCATCGCCACAAAAGAAAAAAAAAGCCCACCGGGCCTTTAATAAGCCAACCGTGACTGTACAGTAAGGCTATTTCAAGCCGCACCTCCACAACGGATTAGGAGGGGTGCCGCCATGAAAGAACAACAACACACAGAAGCAGGCCTCATTAACCAGTTCTCCACCAGGCCAATTCTGACATTTCTTTCCTACATGTAAAAACATGTATTTTGGTATAAAATTACGCAGAACCCCCAAAACATATCATATCATATATATATTTATTAGTATTTTATTTATTTTTGGCAGAGGTCCTAGAGAATAAAGGTGGTGCAATTTGCAATTCTTTGTCACACAGTATTTGTCTGTTAGACCCCATATCTCTTCCTCTGGTCTCCAATGTCTGATCAACTGCTTACCTGGCCACTAACAGGCAAGTAAACAAATAACCAAAACCGGAAGTGATTAAATGCTCATTGCTAACAGTTTCCAGGACCACAGAGAGGGAGGAACAACATTAGTTCCACCATCACCACTGGACACAGCGGTCCTGAGCTCTGCAATCAGACGGGAAAGCTTGGGAAAGGTGGTGGCGGGAGGGACACCATTCTGCCACCTGCAGAAGTGATCAAGGGGCTGTTCGGCCACTTTGATCACTTCTGTCTAACAGGAAATCTGTGGCAAAAAATTTTGATACTGAGAGGATGCCTGCAGCAGGCATCCTCCCGGTATAACCACTTCAACCCAAGGACGTCATATGATGTCCTACAGGCAAGAAGTGGTTAAAACCCATTTCTTGGCTCACTTATTTTTCAGGTGGTGCCTCTCCTATGGATGTAAGGCTTAAAGTGGCATCATTCTCACAGGACCTCCTTCTCTCCTGCTCCCTGGTCTCCTCCTCCCATGCACGACTGCAAGACTTCTCCAGGTCCTCCCCCATCCTCTGGAACTCACTGCCCCAATCCATCAGACTGTCGCCTTCCCTCCTCACATTCAGGCGCTCCCTCAAAACCCATCTCTTCAGGGAAGCCTACCCCACCCTCACCTAACGGCCATTCTCCCTCATTCCTCCCACCACTTCATTCCCCTCAGCCACTTCCTACTGTACCACTACCCCCTCCCTCCTAGATTGTAAGCTCGAAAGAGTAGGGCCCTCTTACCCCTCGTACGTTGTTTGTTATTGTTGTACTGTGCCATGTATTGTCCCCCCTATATTGTACAGCGCTGAGCAAACCCTTTGGCGCTATATAAACTCGATGTAATAATAATAATAATTCTTCAAACCTCACCTATATGGCGATTATGTAGGTCTCTATGCTACATGCAGCGAGTCACTATTACCAAAACTTTGTGTATTATTATTATCATCATCTTAGGACTTATTTATGTATTTATTTATTTATTACACATGATCTTCAATCTCTGCGTAGAGGGCTGGGTGTGTGTGGGATGGAGAACTCTCTCAGGTGGGGGGCGCCAAACTGATTCTTTGCCCTGGGTGAAAGAATGTCTAGCTTTGCCACTGTATCACAGGCTGACCCTTGTGTCCAGAAGTGCTCTGCAATGAAACGGCACCCCCCACAGTTCCCGAATACATTGATAAACATTTTCCTTCTCTCTGTACAGGAGATTCCCAGACTTGTACTATGACCTAGTCTTCAAGATTCCAACCACCAACGTGTCTGTGCGTCTCGTAATGCTGGACACCATAGTCTTGTGTGGCAACTCTGATGACTTCCATGGAGGTCAACCGCTAGGTGCTGCTAACCCAAAGTTGGCCAATGAACAGCTTGCTTGGCTAACAAAGAAACTGGAGACAGCCAAGGAGGAGTACTTACTGGTGGTGGGTCATTACCCGGTATGGTCCATCGCTGAACATGGCCCTACCCACTGCCTTCTGCACCATGTGGAGCCACTGCTTAGGAAATACAACGTGACAGCTTATCTGTGTGGACATGACCATAACATGCAGGTAAGGGTAAATGGATGTGTGAAAAATAATTTCTTCCCTTTATAATTTTAAAGATATACTCCAGTAAAGACATAATGTGCAGAATTCATAAACAACGTCCGAGCTTTGATGCCAGATTTTAAATAAAAATATGTGTTTAAATACCTTATTGCCCTCTTTAGCGCAGACAACTGAAGTCAAGACATAAGCAGGTTGTACTTGGCTGATATGGGGATACATGGTTATGTTCTGTTTGTTTAACAAGCCATTATTCTATTTCTATACAGGATTTATATAGTGCCAATAGTTTTTTGCACAGTGATTTACAATATAAATACTCTGATATCCTGGGGCTCTCTCACACCTCTAATTTCCCAAGAATATTGGGAAACTAATGATAGACATATTTTTAATTGCCTTTTTAGTAATTCCTTCAACTTTCCTTTCAGAATTAACATTTTCTATAGGACCCTATACTACAAAATACTCCCGCAAATGTGGGCCATTGATTGCAAGCAAGATTTGTTAATTTTCACACACACAAAAGTATTTTTCCTAACAAATTAATTCAAGACCATGTTGCAAAAATGAATACACCCCAATGTAAGGCTTAGGAGCAAAGCTAAATTTTAGGCAACAAAATCAGAATTAACAAGAATTCAACGACAGGTGAGTCTAATTATTCATTAAACAGGTGTCCAACAGACAGTTGATTATAAAAGAGAGTTACTTAACAAAGAAAACCCCTCCCATTTCATGCTGTCAGCAATGGCACCACATGGAAGAGAAACGTCACAAGGCCTGAGAAAGAAAAAATAATTTTATTTACACAAGAAAGGTGAAGGCTACAAGAAGATCAGCAAAGCTTTACTTATCAGTCAGAATACTGTAACAAAAGTTATACAAAACGTTAACAAAGTTGGAACTACAACCATCTCACAGAGACGTCCAGGCCATCCACGGAAGTTAACACCTCGACAGGAGCGTCTTCTGATGAGAAGGGTTGAAGAAAATCGCCATGCAAGTTTACTGCAGTTAGCTAAAGAAGTTGAAAGCCAAACTGGGGTGATTGTTTCCCATGACACAATACAGCGTACACTGCAAAGGAATGGCATGCATGGGTGTCGTCCACGAAGGAAGCCTCTCCTAAAGCCCATGCACAAAAAAGCCCGCCTAGAATTTGCCAGGGCCCATGCTGAAAAAGACTCAGGGACTCTGTTCTCTGGAGTGATGAGAGCAGGATAAAGGTTTGTGGAACCAGGGGCGGACTGACCATTTGGAAACTCGGGCACTGCCCGGGGTCAATAGGGGGCCCATGAGATGCCCCTGGTACCTTTTTCATAGGCTTTTTTGAGTTTGGGCAGGGACACAGGGGCCCCATGATCCCCTATGGCCCGGGGACCCCATGAGTTGTCAGTCCGCCCCTGTGTGGAACTAATGGCTTCAAAACTGTATGGCGTTGAGGAGCACAAAGTAAAATGCATGGCGCCTACAGTGAAACATGGTGGCAGTGTCCTTCTGTGGGGCTGCATGAGTGCTGCTGGTGCCAGGGAACTGCACATCATTGATGGTATCATGAATTCACAGATGTACTGCTCTATATTGAAAGACGAGATGTTAGCATCACTCCGTGCCCTTGGTCGTCGTGCACTTTTCCAACATGTGAATAATCCAAAACACACATCTAAGGCCACTGTTACATTTCTGAAGAAGAACATGGTGAAAGTGATTCAGTGGCCAAGTATGTCTCCTGATCTGAACCCAATTGAACACCTATGGGGAATTCTGAAGAGACAAGTTGAGCATCACCTTCATCCAGCATCCAGGCTCTAAAAGAGGTCGTTCTTGAAGAATGGGAAAAAAATAATGTTGCAATATGTCGCCAAATTTTTCATTCCATGCCTAGAAGACTTGGTGCTGTAGTAAAAATCATGGAGGTCATAAAAAATACTAAATGTAGTACTTTGGCTGATGCAAAAATGAATACACTCCACAACAGTTTGAGTAGAGCTGAAGATTTTGTAATCTAAGTTATATTATTAACCTTACTTGGTATGTGTGTATAAGGTATCTCACATAAGTGAGTCCACCCCTCACATTTTTGTAAATATTTTATTCTATCTTTTCATGTGACAACACTGAAGAAATAACACTTTGCCGCAATGTAAATTAGTGCATGTACAGCTTGTATAACATGTAAATTTGCTGTCCCCTCAAAATTACACAGCCATTAATGTTGAACCCGCTGGCAACAAGTGAGTACACTCCTAAGTGAAAATGTCCAAATTGGGCCCAAAGTGTCAATATTTTGTGTGACCGCCATTATTTTCCAGCACTGCCTTAACCCTCTTGGGCATGGAGTTCACCAGAGCTTCACAGGTTGCCACTGGAGCCCTCTTTTACTCCTCCATGATGACATCACGGAGCTGGTGGATGTTAGAGACCTTGTGCTCCTCCACCTTCTGTTTGAGGATGCCCCACAGATGCTCAATAGGGTTTAGGTCTGGAGACATGCTTGGCCAGTCCATCACCTTTACCCTCAGCTTCTTTAGCAAGGCAGTGGTTGTCTTGGAGGGGTGTTTGGGGTCGTTATCATGTTGGAATACTGCTCTGCGGCCCAGTCTCTGAAGGGAGGGGATCATGCTCTGCTTCAGTGTGTCACAGTACATGTTGGCATTCATGGTTCCCTCAATTAACTGTAACTCCTCCGTGCCTGCAGCACTCATGCAGCCCCAGACCATGACATTCCCACCACCATGCTTGACTGTAGGCAAGACGACGCACTTGTCTTTGTACTCCTCACCTGGTTGCCACACACACGCCTGACACCATCTGAACCAAATCAGTTTATCTTGGTGTCATCAGACCACAGGACATAGTTCCAGTAATCCATGTCCTTAGTCTGCTTGTCTTCAGCAAACTGTTTGCGGGCTTTCTTGTGCATCATCTTTAGAAGAGGCTTCCTTCTGAGACAACAGCCATGCAGACCAATTTGATGCAGTGTGCGGTGTAAGGTCTGAGCACTGACAGGCTGACCGCCCCACCCCTTCAACCTCTGCAGCAATGCTGGCAGTACTCATACATCTATTTCCCAAAGACAACCTCTGGATATGACGCTGAGCACATGCACTCAACTTCATTGGTCGACCATGGCGAGGCCTGTTCTGAGTGGAACCTGTCCTGTTAAACCGCTGTATGGTCTTGGCCACCATGCTGCAGCTCAGTTTCAGGGTCTTGGCAATCTTCTTATAGCCTAGGCCATCTTTATGTAGAGCAACAGTTATTTTTTTCCGATCCTCAAAGAGTTGTTTGCACTTAGGTGTCATGTTGAACTTCCAGTGACCAGTATGAGAGAGTGAGAGCGATAACACCAAATTTAACATACCTGCTCCCCATTCACACCTGAGACCTTGTAACACTAACGAGTCATATGACACCGGAGAGGGAAAATGACTAATTGGGCCCAATTTGGACATTTTCACTTAGGGGTGTACTCACTTTTGTTGCCAGTGGTTTAGACATTAATGGCTGTGTGTTAAGTTATTTTGAGGGGGACAGCAAATTTACATGTTCTGCAAGCTGTACACTCACTAATTTACATTGCGGCAAAGTGCCATTTCTTCAGTGTTGTCACATGAAAAGATAGAATAAAATATTTACAAAAATGTGAGGTATGTACTCACTTCTGGGAGATACTGTATATATAAATATACATTTGATTTTATATATATATATATATATATATATATATATATATATATATATATATATATATATATATATATATATATATATATATATATATATATATATTTTATTCCAGCAATCGCAGAAAGGGGGATGGGGGATTACACTGATCCCAGAGTAGGACTTTAAATAAGATCAGCAAGTCACCAAAACCTTTTCACTATATCTGTATTGTGCTCTTGTACTTCAGTATCTGCAGGATGACGTTGGTATTGGATATGTGCTGAGTGGGGCTGGAAACTTCTTAGAAAATTCACGGAAGCACAAGGAAGCCGTTCCCATGGGCTACTTGCGTTTTTTCCAAGGCGAAGAGGAACCTTTGGGAAGTTTTGTCTACATGAAGGTTACCGCTAAAGAATTGAATATAACCTACATACAGTCTGGAGGCAAAAGTCTTTTCCAAACCACCCTCCATCCACGGAAGCTGTAACCTTAGCTGCTATAGAGAAACATTGTTTACATAATGGCATTCTTTTTGGATCAAATGATTCTATGTGTATGCATTACTGCAGAGTGCGTTACTTGGAGTCCCTTCTTTCAAATGTTGATTCAATCGAATCCCAAGAAGATCAGACTGTTTTTCATAGTAAAAAAAAAGATCTAGGCATGTGTCAAATCTAAACGGATCAAATACTGTATTTTTAAGTTTACCTTTTACATAAATTGGCCCATGCAGACATCAAGCCCTAATAGTTTAAAATATAAAGCAGATGTAAATGCCATACCTGCAGGTCTTTACTGTCACCCATGAAGCCTACATAAAATACTCCCAATGTTTATATTCCTTATTAAATCCTGGCTTATTTCAAGGAAATGGCAGACATTGGGTGCTCACACTCAGTATCACAGAATGCAATAAATAAACTGCATGTGCAGAGCGATTTCTGCTGTCACAGAAATTCTCACACCACTGTAGTCCCTTTCTAGCTCATAGACCACAACAAAATGGCCACCAAGCCTTCTTTGAGGACAACTAAAGAGTTTATCACTTTAGTTGTCCTCGAGAAGAAGGTTCATTGGCCGTCTTGTTGAAGTCCATATCCTAGAAATAAGCCTTGAAGTAGGAATATAAACATTGTGGGTATTTTGACACATCCTTCATAGGTGACAGAAAAGGCCTACCAAGTATGGCATTTGCATTTTAACAAAGGGCACAGTGCATTTTAAGCTCCTCGGGCAGGCTCCTTGTCTTCAGGGGCAGTTTAAGTCCAAGGTGCACTTAGTATATGAAATCGTATGTTATTCAATGTTTTTATTGGAAATTCAAATGTACTGAAAATTATGTGAACATTTGAGTAGGTGGAGACATTGGATGAGCAGTTCAGATGAACCCATGTGGTTTGGGAACCGCACAGTTCAACAGGAAGAATTAAGCTTGCATTTTCATATGTACTCCATGCTTTGGAGCCATAGACTATATCCTGCCTTCTTCCAGTAGCATTCTTGAAAGGTTCCCTTAGGATGTTAGGCCTTGTCTTATTTGTATATTACCATGAACTTTCAGCTAATGGGACATTAGTTACCACCTACTGTAATGTTCTATGATGCAGGAGGAACACCAGCACTAGTTAATGTAGAATAACATGGCGGTAAACTGGTGGCAAGCCTGTTAAGTTTGCAAAGGTTTTGACTTGCCCTTCTAATCCTGTCATGTAAACAAGGTGGAGTGAAGAATCTTCAGAACTCGAGAAGACCTCCAATAACCTGAAATCTTCATTGCTTGAAGAACCAAATGCAGAATCTACCTCACAAACCCTCCTCCTTCCAGAGCTCTACTATCATGAGAGAAGTATGGGGCATGCCATTGATGGCCTATTTCTGAAAATACTAGTTGAATGGCTAAGTTTAGCTTCAACCCTTTTGAGTTACAGACCTGGAACAAACGTGCTGTAAAATTTTTAAGGATTCAAAATGTATCTCGGCAATGACGGCCCCCATATTTCTTTCCTCGCAGATTCCATTTTCAAGTTCACAGAGAATCAATGCTGTATTGACATCCATTTTAGAAAATGTGATGTCTCCCAAAAGAATAATGTAGTTAGTTGGCCCACTTGGAACTTGTGGCCTTATTGGGAATCAGACAACCATACTTACATTTATGTTGCTAGTTTCGTTTTATAATAGCTGCATTTTCTGTTCATCTGACTCATAAATGTCCATCTCCATGATCTTCAGGCAATAGATACCTTTTTTAAAAACTTAAATTAAACTTTCAAATTATTACATTTCAATCAGATTTAAAGTAGAACTAAAGGCAAAACCTTTGTTTTCATTTCGGAATGGATTGGATTTGTAAGAGAGGGTTTTAACCCCTGTCAGATTCTCTTTCCCCATCTGTGTCCTATTGGGGAGATTTCCCCTCAGTTCCTGTCCCACAGCTGAAATGCGAAGTCAGAGGAAGTGAGGAATTCCCTGGTTGTGACCAGGGTCATCAAAACTACTGTCCCCATTGGAAGATTTTCCCCTCTATTCCTGTTCTGGTGGGAATCCAATATCTGGGAATTTTATTTCACTCTCAGCGATGATGGTAAATCTGATAGGGTGAATCTCCGTAACGGGCACACAGTGGTTCTAATCCCTCTCCACTATATCCAATGCTAAATAAATTAAAAAAAAAAAAAAAAAAAAAAAAAGTTTGCTTTTAATCTTTTTATGTTTTTTTTTTTCCTAAGTGCTATTCTAATTTCATAACAATTTTAAGGGCTGTTTGACTGGCAAATCTTTTGTTTATTTCTGTGTGTTTGCAAAGCTCTGATGGCTTTTGTTTTTAAATGATGTTCTATGTTTTTTTGTAATAAACTTGCAGATCTGAAAGATTTGTTAAAATATAATAATGGGTCTGTAAATGATTAGTTCATTTTGTTGATTAAGCAATGAAGTAAAGGATTTAAGAACATCGGAGTTTATAAATTGTGTCTCATGCTTGGTTTGAGGATAGTGTGTTGCAACCAAGTTAGTGCCGAACACCTTTTGCATGCGGTACAAGCAACGGTCACTGTTATTTTCCCAAACAAGATCAGGGTAGAGTGACCTTGTCAGCAGATAATCCAACCCCAGGTTTTCATATTTGCCATACCACACTAAGGTGCTAAGAAGGAAAGAAAAAATGAGCAGCACTACAACCCCCAGAGGAATAATGACCAGCGGTGCTCTGACTCGTAGCTCCTGCAAGCTCGGCTCAAATGAAATTCCAACAAAGGAAAGCCATCAACACGGTAAAGTCCGCAGACTAAAGTCCATTTATTGATCTACAAAAAGTGGGTAAAAGCCAGTCAAGGAACTAATGCAAATAAAATTACGCGTGCAAACCACTGCAACTCTGATAGTTTATATCATGACGCTACTCTAAAAATATAACATAGAATCAGAAATTTCCTTGAAACAGTAATCTGTCCACAAAAAGTCCAACTATTGTGATATTAAAAAAATTATAGCAGAAATCCACTAATTGTGATGTCATCATTTGGGAAAGTGAGACACCTTTTCAGCAGACTGTAACTTCCAAAACTTCTGCCCCTCTGTTACATGACTGTTCTAAAGCGCTTGTGTCTATCCATAGGTCCCTGGTGCTCCAAGTACATAATTCCTCCATCATCTCTTGCTATCAACTGGATCATTCACATAAATGTATAAAGGGGAAAAAACGTCTTCAATAGCGTAGTATTTTAACCACTTCACCTTTGGAAGGTTTTACTCCCTTTTATGAGTAGGGCATTTTTTGCTATTTAGCACTGTACTATTTTAACTGGCAATTGCACAGTCATGCAATACTGTACCCAAATAAAATATATAAAAAGTGCTCCTTTAATTTTTTTGAGCAGTGTGTATATATTTCATTTGGGTACAGTGTTGCATGACCGCGCAATTGTCATTCAAAGTGTGATAGCGCTGAAAGCTGAAAATTGCCCTGGTCAGGAAGGCCAATTGGCCAATCAGTGATCACATGATCGGGAGCTCGTACAGAGGTCCCGTCCAACGATGGGTGTTTCACTGTGTCCGGAGGACACAGCGGGCACCGGATCGCGGTGCTGCGCGCTCCGAGGGAGCGCGCACAAGCAGGGTGCGGGGAGGCCGTTTATAAACGGCCACCCGACCCTGCACTGCCACCGCCTGGCCGTTTTATATGCAACGGCCGGTCGGGAAGTGGTTAAGTAGCAAAGGGCGTTGTTAATCGGTTTCAGCTGCTTTGGTGTTAATGAAATTAAGAACAGCTGCACTAGATGGGCAACAATGACACCCAAAACAGGAATGGTTTTACAGGTGGGGGCCACTCACATTTTTTTCCCTAATCATCTTTTCTGACTGTTTTTCACTAGTTTGCATTTGGCTAGGGTCAGTGTCGCTACTGGTCACATGAGGCCATACCTGGACCCTACAGAGGTTGCACAGGCAGTCCAACTCCTCCAAGATGACACATCAATACGTGCCATTGCCAGAAGGTTTGCTGTGTCTCCCAGCACAGTCTCAAGAGCATGGAGGAGATTCCAGGAGACAGGCAGTTACTCTAGGAGAGCTGGACAGGGTCGTAGAAGGTCCTTAACCCATCAGCAGGTATCTGCTCCTTTGTGCAAGGAGAAACAGGATGAGCACTGCCAGAGCCCTACAAAATGACCTCCAGCAGGCCACTGGTGTGAATGTCTCTGACCAAACAATCAGAAACAGACTTCATGAGGGTGGCCTGAGGGCCCGACGTCCTCTAGTGGGCCCTGTGATCACTGCCTGGCACCATAGAGCTCTATTGGCATTTGCCACTAGACACCAGAATTGGCAGGTCCACCACTGGCACCCTGTGCTTTTCACAGATGAGAGCAGGTTCACCCTGAGCACATGTGACAGACGTGAAAGGGTCCGGAGAAGCCGTGGAGAACATTATGCTGCCTGTAACATCGTTCAGCATGACTGTTTTGGTGGTGGGTCAGTGATGGTCTGGGGAGGCATATCCATGGAGGGCCGCACAGACCTGTACAGGCTAAACAATGGCACCCTGACTGCCATTAGGTATCGGGATGTAATCCTTGGACCCATTGTCAGATCCTACACTGGGCAATGGGTCCTGGGTTCCTCCTGGTGCATGACAATGCCTGGCCTCATGTGGGGAGAGTATGCAGGCAGTTCCTGGAGGATGAAGGAATTGATACCAATAAATTGTCCCCACGCTCCCCTGACCTAAATCTAAAAGAACACCTCTGCGTTATGTTTCAGTCCATCCGACGCCGCCAGGTTGCACCTCAGACTGTCCAGGAGCTCAGTGATGCCCTGGTCCAGATCTGGGAGGAAATCCCCCAGGACACCATCCGTGGTCTCATTAGGAGCCTCCCCCGACGTTGTCAGACATGCATACAAGAACGTGGGGGCCATACAAACTACCGAGGACCATTCTGAGTTGCAGCAATAAAATTTCAGCAAAATGGACTCGCCTGCTGTATAATT